ATCCATCCATCCATCCATCCATCCATCCATCCATCCATCCATTCCTTCCATCCATCCATCCATCCATCCATTCCTTCTATCTATCCATTCCTTCCTTCCGTCCATCCATCCATCCATCCATCCATTCCTTCCATCCATCCATCCATTCCTTCCATCCATCCATCCATCCCTTCTATCTATCCATTCCTTCCTTCCTTCCTTCCATCCATCCATCCATCCATTTCGTCCATCCATCCATTCCTCCATCCATCCATTCCTTCCATCCATCCATCCATCCATTTCGTCCATCCATCCATCCATTCCTTCCATCCATCCATTATTTTTTCCCACACTTTGTTATCCTGCATTAAAGCATTCCCAAGAATGTGACACATGTCAATTAACAACTTTTTCTCCACCCCCTAAGGTCTATGAGGTGTTGTCCTTTGTGGTGGGTTACCTGTGTTTTCCAATCACCTTTTCAACAAGCAGAACAGTCTCTCTGGTCGAGGTAAGTTTAATTGTGACTCTTCCTAAACTAGAACGCCGCAAAAATATTTTATTTATTTTGAATTTTCTTTCCAGTGTTGGCAGCACGTCTTGCAGCAAGCACAAAGATCTGGTCAGAGGTAAGCTCCAGGATAATGATCATGATAAATCAGACAAAAATATTTTTGTAAATGAGCAATTATGACTTTTTTTTTTTTTTTTCAATTGTATTTTTCTTCATCAAATTTACTTTCTTTTGATACAGGGATAGTGTGAGGTGTGCTCTTCTTCATTTCCTCTCGTCCATGGCTGGAAAAGTGTATCAAAAGCTCATCAATGCTAATGACGTGAGTTATCAATTCATTTTTCTAACATATTTAAGGATTAAGAGGAACAAGATTTTATCGATACCTCTGGCTTATCAAAGTCAACGTACTGCCAACTTACTGATAGAATTGGGATAAAACATCTTGGGTTTTGTGGAATAACACGGAAAACCCGAAGAAAACCCTTGAAGCAAGGGTGATACATAACACACTCTACTCATATGAGATGCCAAGTCCAGGAATTGAAACCAAGACTCTGGAAATAAGATTTATTGAGATATTGCATTTTTCTTTCAGGACGATATTAAAACTAAGACCCTAGATGCTGTCCTGTCACTAAACGAGTTGTTCAAGTCCACAAGTGAGGAGCACCAGAGTATTGATGTTAGATATAAAACAGCTGATATACTATCGAACGGTTCTCTGAGCTCTCTAATGTGGGATCCTTCAAGGCAACTAGGTTGGTTTTCTTAGCTGTATATGTGAAATTTGAAATTTCAACTAAGCGCTTTCCAATGACCGCATTTTAGACCTCAGAAAGGACTCTTTCGTGTCCTTATCCCTCCCCACTTTCTTAAAATTTACTCCACACAACTCTCAGCCCACATGTCGATTTTTGCGGCGGAAGGAAATCCTGAAGAAAACCGAAGAAAACCTCCCGAAGCACAGAAGAGAAAAAACACGTCAAAGAAACTCTATTCACGTGATGCCCGAGTCAAGGGACTGATCCCACAACCCCCTTGAAACCACAGCTACTGTAGCAGAGAAAATTAATTCTTTTTCCTTATCCATTGGAAGCCATATGAAAAATAATAAGTTCGGTGGGGTGTTGAAAAAGGGGGTACCCATCGTTTCAGGAGAGAGGGGTGGCTGAAATTTGGATTAATTTGTGGAAGATGACCAGAATTTTATAACAAATTGGTTGTGTTCATTTTCCAGGGTACTTTCCTCTAGACCTGTGGAGTGTTGTTATTCGTCTTCTTCATGATGATGATAGTTCTGTCAGAGATTGCATGACTAGTGTGTTGTCAGTACAGCCTTCAACTCTTGATGTCCACAACAAACCAGGTAAAGTTAACTAACAATTTTGAGGATGTCAGTGAGAGAGAGGAGCGATAAGAAAGTGCCGAGGTATAGACTCCGTTATGCAACGAACTGCAAAACCATCAAAGAGGAGGGCTCGTGCTCCTTTTCTTTCTTCCTCGTTCTCATTTCTGACTTTTGGGCAGAGAAAAACCCAGAGAAGAACAAGAAAGAACTAGTTTCACTGAGATCAAGTTCGGTGATCTAACCTGCGTTGCATTGGTAAGGAAGCCAACGCTTCAACTCGACTCCTACCTCTGTCACTCTTCCCATTTTAGTATTTCACTCTTATAGTTAATTAGCACGGAGCAGTATAAATTAATTCTACTTTGGACTCTTGGAAGACAAATTTTACCCCACACCCCTTCCCTGGTGGCAGTAATGTTCTTGCTCCTTTTCCTAGCTGCTTACTTCATATCACAGCAGCCACGGATTTCACCCAGAAGTTAACTACTGCAACGTGATAATGAGTACTCTTTGGGGATATATTACAAATACAATTTGCATTTCTCCCCTTTTTTAGAATCTTCAAGTTTGCCTACACTTGCCATTGAGGTAGTTCTGGACCGTGTGTGGAGTGAGTTCTACATCAGAGAGTCAGATGCAACATTACACTGGATATTGGAATGGATCACGGCAAAGCGAGCTTCTAGAACTGCGGATACACCCATTGGAGCATGTCCAGAAGCACCCTCTGAGCATGCTTCAAAAATCGATCTTCTTTTCGAGAAAAATTCTTTGAATTCTTACCAGGAGAAGGAAATCATCGCTGAGGCTGCACTCAAAACCTTAAAGAATCACCAGAGAGAGATATCTGAACCCGGAAGTGACATAGTAGATGACGTCAATAAGGAAGCCATTGAAGTGCTCGAGAAAATAACTCATGAAAGTAGTTCAAATTTTTCTGGTTCATTTTCAAGGATTTATCTAAGTGTGTTGGGACTAACTGCAGCTGAAGTTATAGCAACAGCTTCGTCTATAATCCAATTATCAGAAAATAAAATTGGAGTTGCAGAATCTGAAGTTATTCACAATCCAAATTCCTGCAGTCCTTGTCCAACCAGGTCGAATATCCCGTCTCGACAGATTACAGAAACAGTCGAGAAATTGAAAACTATTATGGAAACACTTTGTTCAAGGATACATATGAAAAAGGAGCTAGAAAATGCAATGGACCAACCTAAATTACGAAAAGCTTTACGGGAACTTTCATTTCTTTCTAATATTGATATACACTTATTTCAATAAAATTAGTCACCAGAAAAGCTACAAAGCTGAGGCCGACAAGGATTATGGGTAGATACATTTTACATGTTTTAACCGCTTGATAACTGTTGATGGACTTGAGATCTTCTACCAGTTACAAGTTCACCTCCTCTGAGCATCCTCAACTGCTGCAGTTTGTATCAAAAGCTTTACTTGTTGGATCAGTATAAAACATTTTCCCATGATCCACAGCTTTCGGTTTTTGGTGACTAACTTTATTGAAATAAGTGTATGACAGGAACAATTATTTTCATTAACAACACAAATCAATAGCATTTTAATTTATGATAGTAAATACCCAAACCAAACAATATTTTTAGATTGTTTTTAAAAATTGTACAATAAACTTTAAGATTTTGACCGTTCTCATA